TGGAAGTGTTCAAGGCCAGGCTGGATGGGGCTTTGAGCGACCTGTGGTAGTGGAAGGTGTCCCTGCCTGGGGGGTTGGAACTAGGTGATCTTTAAGGTCCCTTCCAGCCCAAACCATTCCATGATTCTATGATCTTGTCTGTGTCGTCTGTCACATAGCAATAGGAGAGGGAATGTCACAGTTAAGAGAATATGGTTGTAAAACCATCTAAACTGCTAAAGGGAGTTGAAGGAAATGTGATGGCTAAAGCCACTAATTAATGTTATAAATCAACCATGTTTCAAACTGGTGATGTTTTCATGGCATAGCAATGTTAAAAATGCATGTTTTATTTGGCTGGTCACGTACAGTTAGATTTCTGTTTTGTATCTGTGCAATACACAATGTAAAAAGCACAGTGTTTTGTAAAAGCCATAGCATTTATATGAAAAATAGTGCTGAATGTTTACAGTGGTTTTGGTGGACGCCAGTTGCCAGTTAAATTGGTTTTTGAGAAGTATTAGCTGCCTAAAATGTTTTCAAATGTAAAATCGCAACTTGAACATTAAAAAAAAAAAATAGTCTTCACTGTTCAGAAAAGACTTTTTTTTCCATCTGGTGTAACTTAAAATAAACGCAATAACATCTTCACTACATCAAATAAGTAGGTTTAACTAGGGCTTCTGGTTCAACCAATAATGGGAAATTCCAACACAAAATGATAATTCATCAGAAAGGTGAAGATATATGAAATCGGGAGAAGGAATTACAGTGGATTTCCCTCTATGGCCTTAGCTGTAGCTATCAAAAGTTAGGCTCCCTACTTAACCAAAAAGTTAACACTCACTACTGTAAGAGCAGCGAGTTTTAAAAATACTTTGCATTAACTGCCAAGCATTTTTGATGTTAATTTCATAAGTTGTTCTTGCACTTTGTATTAGAGAACAGCTAACATTTTAAAAGATGGTTGGATCTTACTTGAGTATTATTGTGTTGTTAAATTGATTCTCACGATCCTAATTTTGGAATAATTGTTTTATTACAGGATTATACACACGAATTCCACAAAACCAAAGCGAACTTTTTGGCAATACGAGAAAGGGAGAATCTGTTGGGATCAGTACGAAAAGATATCGAGTAAGTTGTATTGTTTGTTATAGCAATGGTATGGGACTGTCCTTGGAGAAGGTGGAAACCCTCCTGTAGGAGAATACTTGGCATAGCTTATTTGTCCGTGCTCTGAATAAAGCAAAAAATGTTACTTGAATTTACAACTCTTATTGAGGTTGTGATAAAATTCTTTTTTGTTTTGTTGTTGGGTTTTAGATCATATAAAAGTGGGTCTGGCGTGAATAACAGAAGAACAGAACTATTCCTGAAGGAACACGAACACCTTCGAAAGTAGGTGTTATTTCTTATTTCCTTAGGCACCTAGGAGGTGCCTGGCTTTTCTGGGGGATGAAAGATTCTTAATTTCAAGTATGCATGAAAGCTTTGTCCATTTGTAGATATATATGTCCACAATGAATGCCTTGCATTATGTATTCTGTGACAGTGCTGCTACTTATGCAGCTGGATGAACATTTATTGCTTATGCTGACTGCGAAGTGCATATAGGAGGTAGTAGTCATGGTAGCTTTCAGTGATTTCAACTTTAGGATCTCGTCAACGCTAAGTGACATCTGTATGTTGTCTTCAGTGGGCTTTGGCAAGTCACTTGTGACTCAGTCTTCATGCTTGGCGTCCTCTCTTAAGGAAGTAGATGCCTTTCTAGTATACTAACTGGGATAAAGGTTAGAAAACAAAATGGAAAGTCCCAGTGATTTAGCTGTGTTTCCCTTTCTTCTTCTTTATTTGTCAGAGTCAGAGAAGAACCTTTTTTTCCTTTTGTCTCTACTGAATGTGTACAAAAGGTGATGGAAGAGACTGATTCGAAAATTACCTGTGCACTTCAAATATTTGCAAATTGACTCTAGTTTATTGGCCAAGATAACAAGCAAAATAGAAAGCACTTTCTTTTTATTCTTGTTGCAGAGAGGGCACTAGATTATGAGTAGCTCCTCTGTGTGTTCCCCATTCAGCAAAAGCAGCAGCACACCCCAATATAAGAGCGCTGGAAGGTTTGTGTTTTCTAGGTAGTTGAGAAGTAGCACTGATCTTCATGCCTCTGTGTTCTTGACTGTAGTCATGCTAAACCTCAGTCTTACACAAGAGGGCAGGCTTTCATCTGAAAAAATAAAAAAATAAAAAAATTACCTGTGGCTTTCTCAAATGTGCTTTCTCAAAGATAACTTAAACTTCTGGCCAGAGCTGCACAAAAAGCTTTTACAGGAAATTAAACCCAAATTTGTCGATTGTGGCTTACCACCACTTCATCCTCAATTTTCTTTAATATCTTTAAAACTTAGAAATTAATTGATTTAAAGCTTGAATTATGACTTTTGTTACATTGAATTTACTATTAAACATGCATGATCAGGAAACGTAAAGTTTCCAGGAAAAAAAAGCAATCTTAATATTTTGGAGGTGAACGTTACCTGAAATGTACTTTGAAGAATCAATGTCAGTTGATCTGAGTAAACCTGATTCTTTCTAGATGTTGTGTTTGGGGTTTTTGTTTTGCTTTGTTTTTTTATTGGAGGGGTGGTAAACACTCTTATACATTTGGCATTTTGTTAAAGAAGGCTACAAATAAAATATTTCTGGAGTTGTAAAATATACTTCTAAGAAACTGACATTGCTCTGAGTGCACTATTTTGAAAAGTTTGAAACAATGAAGATTATTTGAAAATGTCAAGACTTCAGAAAAACCCCACGACCCTGAGAAAAAGAAAACAAGAAATAAGTGCGAGCTGGGGATCTTTAGGAAACGGGCAAAACTAATAATGGAATACTACTGCAAGGTGGAGATAACTGTAAGGTGTGTGAAGAAATCTGGTGGAGAAGCAGAAGACAACCTTGGCAAGAAATCAAAGCTTGCAAGACATTCAAAACTTTTGAATTAAGAATCAGTAAGCTCAGAAAGAGATACTGGCAGAGGAAATTATTAAACATATTTGTCTTCAGAGAAAGCAGTTAATGAGCTATTAATGCCAAAAAGCTGTGAAAACTAGCAAAAGGTCCCAAGAAATCACCAGGAGCTTGCAGATGACACCAAACATGCTCCTAGGATAAGCTGACAAGCTTTGTGTGAGTCTTGATGCTGAATATTTGCAGTGCAGTAAATCATGGTGCTAGACTAATTGGTAGAACTACATGATAAATATATATACATTGTCACAAAGACACAACAATAAAAATGCAAATGTATTTTTAGTGAAGTTGTGAAACCTATTACACAAGCTTGAAAAATGGAGATGGGAACATAAACTTTGCAAGTGTATTATTATATGCTACAAGGTATATGAATTATATGAAATAATGCCACAGGAATTGTATTGAATATTGGAGCATTCACTTGGTCTTGACCTGCTTAATTTATGATATTAAGTACTTTAACCTATTACATATTTATTCCATGATCTGATAATGGAGAACGTATGAGCTATTACCCCGCTGCAGAATACCAGACTCGTCTGTCAGCCTTTTTCTTTATGCGCTACCGTGCGAGACAGGAGAAGCAGAAACTTGAGTTTGCTCTTGGCGGTGTTTTCCGTGAATGCTCTTTAAAAAGCATGCTGGCAGCCCTAGGCGGTATTGTTTGTGGTGGTATCTCACATGGGAGTAAGAGGAGGAGAGCCAGAAAGCTCTTCTCTGGGAGAGACTTTGGAGAGAAGCTGGACCTCTGCTTTTTGCTCAAATCTGGCTTTTTATTTTTCTGTCACATTTTGAACATCATCTCTTCTGGAAGGACTAAGAATGAAGGAGAATCTGTTTGTCTTAATTTTACATATGTAGGTAATAGTAAAAAAGGAGGGGAAATGAAAAAATCTGTGAGTCCAAAGTTTTGACGAATAAAAGGATCCAATGTATATTAAGCACCAAGGGAATTACAACAGCTGAAGCGCTGTGCAAACCCTTGCTATGCCTGTAATACATAAAACTGCTATCCATTAGGCCGTGAGGATCGTGCATCCATTTGGATTCGCTTTCCCTGGGTGGGGCTGGCTGCTGTGTCAGCGCTGCTGGCACGAGGGTGTTGTGCACTTTCACGTTAGGATCACGGAGCTGCCGGGGCAGCCCTCGGGCCGGGGGCGTGCGGGGCTCTGCGCTGCCGCACCCCGGTTCTGGGAGGGTTAGAGAAAGCGTACCGCGGTGTTCCCTCTTTGACTGAAAGCTTCACTGCGGGTTCAATTCATTTTATAAATCGGCTGATTTTGAGTTTTATTGGGAAAGGAGATTTGTCTAGAAATGTTATTGACTGTAGGTGGGAGGCATAAAGTTTCTAAGTCTCTCAGTTTGCTACTTAATTCCTATACAGATGATTTAAGGATAGTTTCACCTACCTCTGGAAAGAAAAACAATAATGCCTAAATTTCTTAATAAAAATTTTAGCACCTGTTAATTAAAATGAGGCTGGAAGACAGGTCTTGTTGAATATTGATGCCCTGTTAATATTTTTACCTAATACCTCAGATCTTTTGGCATGTCAGATGCTTAAAGAAATACCAAATCTGCCGTGGTCATGTTTGCAGTTGATTCTTGAATGCTTGTTTTCTCGGGTCTATGCCATTCAGTAAAGGGGTTTGTCTCATCTTTTCTGTTTGTATGCTTTTGGCCAGGGAGGTAAACAAGTCATCCTTTTCCTTCTAATACTGTTTTCCATCTAAAGAAAACAATTTTGCTGAATAGATCTAGCTTAGCATTTTAAAAACTGCTCTGAAATGTGCTGCCTCAGAGGAAAGAGTCCTGTCAACTTAGCGTTTGCCCTGAGAAATTCTGCAGTTATTGATGAGTTATAGTCTCAGTCAGCAAAGAAGGGACTAACGTGTTTGATTAAATTTGCACGTGAGTGAAAATTTCCCTTGTGTTAGTACTTGCGTTGTATGTGAATGATATCATATCAAGTGACACTGATGAATTTGTGTAAAAATTGATGAAGGCTTCCAAGGCTTAGATAGAAATTGCGGATTTTATTACCTGTGATGAATTCCTTGTAAAACTAGACCACTTAGTGGTCGCCAGCATTTGCTGTAGTAGATTTGTTCTGTCATTGTAGGGCCACTGTATGACTATTGCTTTATTATTCAGCTCCAGTGCTCAAAAGTTAGACATTTGTCCTTTTCCAAAAGAAGTGGCTGGTGGTGAAGCAGGTGCCTGTGCTGCTGCAGATTATCATGAGCTGTGTTTTTAGTTGTTCTCAGATGACTATATGTTTCTGGTGAGTGTTGCTATGCAGGCTATCAGTCTATCCAGTCAAAAAATTTTCAGCTTAGATGGAGTATCAGGTGTAAGTGCTGCAGGTAGATGAGATGAACCTGCTCAAAGTGTTCAGGCTAGCCAAGGATGTAAACACCCCTGTGTGTCTTAAAATGTTTAGCACTGGGAACAGAGAGGGTAGGGGTGCCAGAGTAGGTGGGTGAGAAACTTTGAAGGAGAAAAGGAGGAGAGCAAACAAATCGAAGAGGGATGTGCTCTGCATGTGAAAGAGAAAAGAGGAGTAAGAGAAGTGAGCAGAAGAAATAACGGGAATCTGCAGCAGTTGCGTAATGGTGCTATTAATAATACATACCTGATTCATGGAGATGATTAGGATAAATGAATGTTCGTGCAGTACTTCATATATGTGAAGTACTCTGAAGTACTAAATATTGTTATTACTATTATTGCATTTCATTTTTCAGCGGAACTATTTCAAATTTCCTGTTGTTGCTTGGGCAGAACTGGCCACATTCAGTAGAGAATAATCACCGGGAAACTGCTTTCAAACTTTGTTCATGATACAGATTACGAACAGGTTTTAATAGAGGGAGTGACTTGTTGACCGTTTTTCTTCTAAATATTGCTGTTGCTTATAAATTTTCACTTCAGTACTGATTTGCACGGAGAAGTCAGCTTAATGAGGTGCTGAGACACCTTACAGGGTTTTTGGTTACAGGTGCATTGATCTCTTGGGGGAAAAAGCTACCAGTTTTCTACCTTAATTTAATTTCCTTTCCTTTGTTATCCCTGTTCTCTGCTCCGCACGCCCTGATTTCCATTCACTGTGCTGTTGCTGCTCGGGTTCCCGTGGATTTCAGTGGACCCTCAGTATTGGATTAAAACCAGAAAACTGCTGTCATCTCCCCTTCCATCCCCTCCCTCGCCTCCAATTGCAGGGGGAAGACACACAGACGCCTGGGCAGTAACTGCTCCGGCTGACACATGGTTCTCCACTGCATCTCCTTCATCTTCTCTTGGAAAGAAAGAGTCTGTAAGAAAAACAGCTAAATCACCAATTCCATTTTCCTTCCCAAGGTGGT